CAGCTACTAAGATATGCTCATGAAATCGAAATTAAGATGTATACTAGACCCTTCTTGGCAAAGATTTGACCACAAAACGGGCGAAGCAACTGACTCTCAAAGACATAGCTAAAACATTGTGAGCCCCTATATTTTCCTGACGATATTTTTGATACCCACACACGCCGAAAAGTTTTTTCTTTTCATTTAGCTATATTTGAAAATGAGGTCACGGGCTACTTAAGAAAAATGCAGTTCAAAGTCAAGCTATTTTACATATTTTCAAAATTTGCCAAATTTTGCGAGCTTGTATTTTGAACTTAGACCGCTGAAGTACATTAAGAAACATAGGATGGAAAATTTTAGGCATTTAAAATTAATTTCAATTCACGTTTCATTCTCATATATCACGTTTTTCTTCGTTTATTACGGTTTTAAGCAAGCCATAGTTGGACGTATACGGTATTTGCTCCCATGTTCATGTCGCCATAAAATTATCGTCCAAAAAAAAGGATGGGTCAGCGAAACGCTATTTTATGCATGATCGACCCGTTTTATAATAACCTGAAAGCAACTGGGGCCAGTTGTACGAAAGGCATTTCTCTCAAACGGCATTAAGCCGTTATCCGGCGTATAAATTCCTTACTCGACGTTTAGTTAACAGGCCAATAAAATTGCGTTGCACAAAGCCCGTTTACTATTTAGTATCGAGTTTAACTATGCGCAGGATAATCTTTAAAGGCGAAGTGTCACGGCGCTGATTGGCTAAAATAAACGCCGCAAAGAAACGTTTAAAATTAATGCTACATGATTGGAAAAGATGTAGCAGCCTTCAATTTTTAAAACAAAGCAATGATGTCCTGCATAACGAAGGGATTATAAATAGTATATCGTATTTCACTCCTAGCTTGATTAATTGTTGGCAGACAGTTTTTCAAGTTCACGCATATTTCGGATGCGCAGTAGAACCGTAACACTGGCCCTTTAATTTAACCAGAGAAAACCGAATTTTCCAGAAATTTCTTATCTCTATACCGGCTGTTACTAGGCATTTGTCTCGCATTTTTGAACTTTTTGAAGCTTTAAGTAACTTGTAAATTCCACTAAACATTTGCAATAAAGTTTCTTGTTGTTTATATTAGGAGTTTCCTCGTCCATTCGTTGCAATACCTTATCAAACTTCTGATTTTCATACTTTGCTGACAGTTTGACAGTATTTCTCATTTACTTACTGATATCTTTTAAACAGTTTTGGATTCTTTGTACGAAAAGCCGGAGGCAATAGCCAAAACTGTGAGTTGTGTTGTCTATTTTCAGTTTTATATTTTTTGTTCCATCACCTTGTACTTTATTCCCTATATACTGTGCTATATACTTTTCACTGAATTATTTATTTCTGACCTCACAACTTGATCAGATGTAAGACCAAACGATTTTCCAGGAATTGCAAATTCAAACAACTCGATATAAGTAAACTGGGGAAAACTTGAGGGCAAGTTGTTTTCTATTTTCTTAGGATCACAGGTCCAGGATGTTTGGAGGGGCTTTTTCAACACCACTAGGTTGTACCAAGCTCTCAGTAGTGGGAAAGGAATATCCACAGCAAACAATGTATCTTTAGATGTAGATCTGGCAGCATATGTATCTTGATCAATGTTCAAATTTCAAAAGCTTACAATAGTTTTATAAGTTCTACCTAAGTTAAATCCCGCAATTTAACCATTGTTTATGAGCCCGAACTTCCTAATAAAAGCGGTCAAACTCATGGTAACATAGCAACAGCTAAAGGAGAGCAATGGCGGACAGGAAAGCAAATTTGACTACGATATTTTGATGTTTTTGTGCGAAGTATGATGTCTTTCTGCCTTCAAAGTAGACAAAGACCATGTTTTAAAGCTTCTTAAACGTGAACAAAATAAAGATAGAGTCTATACGAACCAGCTCTGATGTGCACATCTGCCGATGTCCGCCAACAACATGCAGAAATTGGAACTGTAAAGTAACTAATACGGCAAAATCACACACTTTCTTGTATGGAGACTAAGGTAAAAATATTGTTTCACCGAAACATAGTTCGGCAGCTCGAGCTGTCTTCAAATTTTCAGTGGTAAAAGTTCGATAAAATTAGCGATGTTTTGGATATGCACATTTAGAATTTCTCGATCGTGGGTTATCTATAATGCAAATTTTAATGATTTCCCACTCTAATTATATTAAGACGCCATATTGGATTTCTACATTGGGGCTACAACGGGCATGCTTGGCAGCCATTTTGGCCTGCATTTCGGGCCATGACAATAAGACCAATTCCAAGGCATCTGACACATTGCAGATGTCATTAATATGTTCGGAATAGTAATGGTATAAGTACGCACCATTGAGGTACTTCACACCTTATGGTATTAAACAAGGACGTTACCCTAACTCATTCAACATATTGTTGTTTGTTTAAGAAATAATTTCTTAGTCAATTAAGTGCCAGGACACGAATTAGATAGATAGATAGATAGATAGATAGATAGATAGATAGATAGATAGATAGATAATAAAAGAGCGTTTATAACGTTCAGTTCTTACCAAAGGAAGCCCAAACTCGTGCCCTCTCTGCCTTAACGGTCTAATATTAATTGTATTCGGTAATAATTCTTGTAATGAGTTATGTTCATTATTTATAATTCTCTTCCATAGCTTTCTATCTCCGTCTGTAATAATTTCTCTAAAATTCAACTTTTCTGATATGTAGCCATTTCAATATGCACGCTTGATAAATTTATCTATTTGGTTAATGTACTTGCTGTAAGTACCTCCCCAAAGCTCTATTCCATAAGTGAATAACGACATTATTAGACTGTTAAATAAAAGATTTAACTGTTTGATAGGCATACCGTAATACTTGTAAACACGTAGTATATGCATTCTTTCCCCTGCATTTCCAATCATCTCGTCAAAATGAAAGTCCCATTTATTAGTTAGGTTTTTTAAGGTGATTCCAAATAATTTTAGCCATGATTTGCGTTCAATATGCAGAACAACAGCTGGTAATGGTGTTGAGATTTTTCCCCGAATGACCATTTCGTACGTTTTTTTCCATATTAAGATGCATTCTATTTCTTACGGACCATTCTTCAATATTGTTAATTTCGATCGCTGATGTGTCTCCATAATAATAACCGGGGACTTCCAATGTCAGGTCATCAGCAAATTTCACTAATTCGTTTTGACGATTGGCTGGTTTGATATCATCTATCATTATTGAAAACAATACTTGACCTTAAACAGATCCCTGAAGAACTCCTCTAATAATTTTCACATAGTCCGTTTGAATTCCATCTACCTTTACTCTCTGGTGACGATCCTTCAAAAAGTTAACAATCCAATTGATAATATATGGATTAAGAGGAAGGCTTTTCATTTCAATACAGAGAATATCGTGCGGCACTCTGTGTAAGGCTTTTTTGAAGTTAAACGAAAAAACTCTCGCATATTTGGCACCGCGTTTTCTAACCATTTCAATGACGTATGTTGGCACTTGATTAAGTCTATTGTGGTGTTATGGTCTTTCTAATTGTAAGCACATTTGTCTGATCCAATAGTATCACTGGTAGAATGTACAATTTCAGTTTTCTATACACATTTATCAAATTTTCTCATGATTATATCGATCAGCGAAATGGGTCTTAGCTGATTGCAATTAATTGGTAGCAGATTAGCTTGTTTCGATGCCATAGGTACCTTACCAGCTATTAGTGATGAGTTAAATATTTGAGTGATGGTTGGTGCTAATTCAGTTGCAAATTCTCTCCCGAACCAATAAGCAGCGGCGCCGCCAGCTTGATAATTGGGGGGAGGGAAATATTCATATATTTGTTTTTACAGACCATAACAACAATCGATTTCAAAAGAAGTTCATAATGCAGAACACGAAGATATGAATATTTCCTCCACCCAATTATCGAGCTGGCGGCGCCACTGCCAATACAGGAGATCGTCGGGACCTGATGATGTACATTTTTGTTCTTGAAGAAACTTGAAAACCATTTGGACAGTAAGCGAAGGAACTCTAGTACCCTCGGGAATTTGTAGTAGAAGTCTAAAAAATCACCACTACATATTCTTTTTTGTCAATTGCTCATGTTATCTTGTCTATTAAATAAAGTAAAGCAAATAAAATAAAATAAAGTAAATAAAGTTATTAAAGTGAAGTAGATGTAGTTTTCCTAAAACCATATTGGTTATCAAATAAAATGCCATGCTTATCTGATTAGCCGATTATACACAACCCTTTCACATAATTTAGAGAATATCGGTTAAACAAAAACTGGCCTACATATAGCTTGGGAATAGGCTATCCGTGCTTGACTTAAATATTGGTATAACACGGGCAATCTTCATTTGGTCTTGGACAACACGCGATTCTATAGATAAATTAATTATATGAGTCAGCGGTTTTGTAATGGAATCTATGGACTCTTTATGGACAACATAGGTATTTTATCATGGTCCGTCCCAACCACATAAGTATTTTATAATTGTCTGTGGCTGTATATAAATGTCCCTTATTTGTATACCTGTTTCAGTTTTTTTGCCTTTCAACACATTGTTTTAAAAGCTAAATGCGCGAGTCTTTCTGTCCGTTTTCAAGCTATACAATAGAAGGAAAGAAGGAGCAAAAATCCTAAACGTCTAAACACTGAGATTGGTCTGCGTAAAATATAAGCAAGCCACAAAATTATTTACAGTATATTAAAGTGAGCAAGTGACCTCGATGTTATTAATTTAAAGCAGGTATAAAAAGTGAGTTATTCATTTTCATTGTATTTCAAAAGATGCCTCCTCAACAAGATTGTCTATTTCTATTACTATCTCACGGTTTTTCATCCCAATTACGAATTGTTATGGTGGCAGAGTGTTGCCACTTAAAAATTTTCAGTTTTTTTACAAATTGAAATTCAAAAATTAAAGACAGTTAAAGTAAAATAAAATGTTAATGTTAAAGTAATGTAAATACCGCAGTGACTTACCTTTTTTTCATTTGAAATGCGAAAGCTAAAGCAATTTAAAATAAAAGTTCATTCCAAATACAACTTCAACCGAAAACTAAAGTTATATTCAAAGTGAAATGCAAACAAAAATAAAAGTAAATTTCCTTATGGCCGAGCGCTGCCACTACCATGATGCCATGCGCGCGTTACAAATTTTATATCCTTATATCTAGTCCGATCACCTACTGTATCCATCAACTCATCGAGCACATGGAAAGTCCAAACATCACAATATGACAAAATGTCGGATTGGAGACAGTTTAAGATCAAGCAACGTGAAAACCGAATGGCAAAACGAGGGAAGAAAGGCAAAGGACAGTCAAAGGATTTGAAAGCGATATCATAGTTCAGAGAATGAGCTCAGAAGTGACAGGAAAACAGCAGAAGTATACTCGAATTGGCCCACAAGAGTTTGTTCCATTTGAACACGATGAGATGACATTCGAAAACATAGTTGAATCTTGTCAAAAGTCTTTTGCTAAGCACATTGAAAAAGGCATGGTGTGTGACATCCTCGCTGGGGAACGTGGTCCATCTTGTAAAAACATGAACCAAATTCCAGATAATAAGGTATTCTACGTGAGATTTGTTAAACCCGAAGCTCCAAACGAAATAGATGAAGAAGCCGATGATCATGAATCTACCCAGGTATTATAATATACATTTACACTAATAACAATAATCTAGAATTTTGCTTGGCCCTTAGAAATCCTTCCCAATTGGGCTATTCCAATTATTAGCTGCACCATTATTATCTAATCCAATTATTATTTTTTTGTAAATTTTATGAGGTCCACAAGTTCATTAGTACTTCGTACTATTAAGTGTCACCCTTTTCAAATAAAGTCAATCTATCTATATACCCCCCTGTTGAGGAACCCCTTTCTCATGTCGGTACTCCCCTGGAATTTCCGCAAATTTTCATGTAAAATTTACCCCTTCCCATGGAGTTTCCTTGTAAAAATTACCCTTCCCCATGGAACTTCCATTTTAAATTAGGCCTTCTCCATGGAATTCCATTTAAAATTTGGCCCTGTCCAGGCAATTTCCATGTGTAAATTACCCCTCTCTATGGAATTTCCATCATGGGACAGTTACTCCTGGAAATTTCCCTCTAACAATTGTCCTCCCATAGAATTGCCATCCCATCAAATTTACCCCTCTGGAAATTCCATGTGAGAATTTTTCCTCCCCTTGGAAATCCAGAGCCTGAATGCCCCCTTCCCTGGAAATTCCAGGGTTAATGTATTCCCTCCACTGAAAATTTAAAGTTAATGCACCTCTCCCCTGGAAATTCTAAGGTTAAAACAAGTAGTATGTAAAATGCCGATATCTTACCACTTTTTTTCGTCAATATTAACCATTTTTGTAATTCTAGACGCTCTACAACACTAAATTTGATGTACTAATTTTGGGTCTCAGACGACCGTTTCAACACCATTTTTATGCTGTATTTACCATCGGCAACACACACATTGATGCTCACAGACCATCTACGACCACTTTTTTTACTTTATCAATTTTAGCGTTCTAGACCCTCTACAACCACTAAAATAGTGCTCAGAATGCAATTCTAAATTTTCGAGGTGGTAGGATATCGGTTCATCAATTTTTGATGATTCTCTGAAAACAATGATTTTACACGTTCTAGAGCCATTTCAAAGGCACTTTTGCTCATTTCTCAAAATTTTTTGTACCTCGCCCGACTCCCGAGATTTCACCGATTTGCCTCTTCTGAAATCTTTTTAACATACATTTTTTGTAAAAAACACCACTTTTATTTTCATTTTCTTCTCTGAATGACAAATTGAAGTCACTTTTTACTGCTCCAACAGCCTCTCCGTTTACCTTCCCTATTTGATATGGAAATTAACTCTTAAGTCTGTTTTGGCAACCTAAACGGTGATTATCCTTGCCTGAACTTAGTTTTACATGTCCATATGCCAGGCTTGATATTCCGTTAGTGAGCAGAAACCTTTTATCATCAAAGGCGCTCAGTGAGACCTTTCTTAAATTGTACGTTCCAACATCATGACAGTTGCTTCTTATAACGTTCATACTATGTTTCATCTGAAGACCCTCCACCAGCGTCCTCTTATAGTCTTCGTGAGTGATGAACTTTTTGATTACATACTTTTTTACACCTTTAGCTGTCTTACCACCTCCCCCATCATCTTTCTCATAACTGTACATCTTTGACCGCAACCCAATGAATTCTCTTATAGGTATACCGCCAGCTTCATCCTTAAATTTACCGATGACTTTCTTATTAGTCTCATCATAGAAGGGCGAGTTCTTATTGTAACCGCTGGTATCATACTTATCAGAAAAGTTCGCCGCATCTTTATACGCATCATCAGTGTGCAACCTGTACATTAAACTATCTGTATCCGTGAAAAGTAACTTTGCTCGGCTACCATAAATCTTTCTTATATGATTATAGTGAAAGTCATACATTACCGTTTTCGACAGATCAAGAATACTCATTCCAATATACACAGGCTTGTTCAGGAGTAACACTTCCTTTACCTTCTTAACCGCAACTAGACCGCCACTCAGTACTTTAGCCCTTACGAAACATGGTGATGCAACCGCCTTCTTCAGCTTGTTACCGTCGACCATTAGTTTCACGTCAACCCTTTTTCTAAGGTTCTCCATTGTCTTTCCAAACACAGAGTTATTCATCAACTTGAAGAAGTTCTTCTCAAAGTCATTTTTAGCAACTGTTCTCATATCGGTGTTAAACTGAATGTAACCCTTGAGCCACTTTGAATGAGCAAACTCAAATGCTCTTCTTATCTTCACCAACTTCATCCCCAACCCCATGTACAACTTAAGATTATTAACATGACATACATAGGAGGTCTTCCCAGTCAGTGTGGTTACCAGCTTTTTTACACCAGTTGACCTACCACCGTGAGCCTCTTTTATAGACCTTGCATATTCACTCAACATGTCATCACTGATTTCCATTTTCTCTGGAGCTAGAGGATAGTCACTATGTAACTTATGAAGTTCACTTGGATATTCAAGATCAACCTCCAGTATCAAACCTTTCTCTTTACCTTTACCATAATCTTCAAGCTTAACCTTGTCAACATCAATCCACCTAAATTTTCCATATGGTAGCTCCTCACTCATCGCATGTCCATAGAGGTTATTTGCATCGAGATACATTATGTAGCTACTTGGTTTTTCAGGATCATAGTCACTCATATATTTATTATTTGCCTTCGCGTATCTATGACCAATATAGCTTACCCCACCACGCATTCCCTTCTCAATGAACTGATACATGTCAACATTAGAAAGCAAATCCAATTTTACACCTGTTCTTTTCAACATAGCGTCCCAACTAAGTCCAGGAGCAGAAATGTAATGTGCAGGGTCCAACTTATAAGCATCCAGACAAACTCTTCTAAAGTCTTCGAATACATCTGCTAACAACAACACGTCAGTCTTCAGATACAAGTCATGATAATCACCTAAACTCTTACAGTCAAACTTTTTATATACTTTGCACGCTCTCGAATAGTCATTATCGTTAACCTCTTCCTCATACAGTGAACTATAGAAGGCAGATTTCTCAGGTAAGCTTTTATCATCAAATTTCTCCCAACAACTCATATACTCGTAAGGGTAAACTCCCTTCTTAAGTAACATCTCAAGCTCCTCTCCTTGCCATTCACTTTGCATTCTCTTGAAACGACTCTTATCAAGATTCCCAACAAGAGCCTCAAGACTACTGCTCATGAACTGCATAGAGTCAATGAAGACCAACTGTTTACCCACTCTGAAGGACATATACTTTTGCATATTATTTGCAATCACTTCAATCTTCTCACCGAGTTCAGCAACACCCTGCATAATAAAGTTACCATCATAACCGCGTAGATTGTGAAATACAACAGGGATCTTTCCAGTTAACTTAAAATTCAAGTTACACGAGTTATGGGCCGCACCTCTAAACTTACCAGTAACATGACAATGATCAAGCACCTTCTTATCACCCTCACTAAACTTACCACCACAGATGTGACACTCAACTGCCTTCTCAAGTTTATCATAGTCCTTGACACTCATAATTGCGACCTTGTTGAACTCACTTTGGATAATCTTATTACACTCCTCAACTTCACCCAGCAGGTCACTCAAGAATCTCCCGACCGCGCCAACTCCCCTATAGCTTTTATATTCACCATCATACTTACCATCAAAGTAACACACTCTCTTGAAACCGTAGCTACACATCTCATGGTCATGTGTCTTACGCAGGCATTTGCCCTCCCCATCAACAGGGATCAGCAACGATTCAAAGTCAGCGTATATTACAAACTGAACAGGTAATTGTCTCTTATGATTCTTGAATACAACTTTGCTACCTCTCTTGGGCATCATAGTTTTCTGCGTTCCGTTCACCTCTCTACATGTCCCACTATGTTTATCCAATCGTTCCTGTGAGTTGAACCCATTGAGGCAACTAAGGCAGTAGAATCTCTTATGTTGAGTCTTACTTAGACTACTGAGTAACATGCTAATATCCCTCACAAGGACATAGTGGGTATTTCCCTCATTGTCCTCCATCAGCAGCAACTCCATATGATCCTTATAGTCAAACTTTGATGTATACCTTGGAAAGAACATCTTCTCTCCCTTCAACATAATCACGGTAATTCTGATCTCATTTGCCTTCTCAATCTTTGGAATGTCATCTATCCTCACAGGAAACCCAATACCGTTGTAGTTGAGTGTCTTGGCAAACTCTCTATCGGACCTAGTAATCTCAGTTGCCCTCTTATCCTTTGGCTTCAAATGTCTTACATGACACCATCTAAAGCACTCGTCATCATCAGTGTTCACAATGTTAATTAGCCCATTCTTATTAGACTTCAGAGGAGCAGGTAACTCAATAAATGAACTGCCAACCAATGGATTGAAGTGAACAACGTCAACTTCATGTTTCTCAACCAAGATCACCCTCCAATTGCTACCACGATCCTGGTAAGATTCAATCTTAGCTATAATTCTCTCAGCACTAAGTCTAACCGCATCTTCAACTTCACTTTCATTCATAACGGTTATAGTCTCACTTTCCATTGGAAGATCAACAGCAGCATTCTTACTAAGAAGACCCTTTACCATTTTCAACACAAGAGTCTCAACAAACTTTACTGGTCGGTCAAGAACAGATTTGAGTAGGTCACCAACAATCTTACGACTAACATCGAGTTGTCCACCGAAGTCAGGTCTACTTATTCCCAAAGTGAACTTCTCAATTGTCCCCTCATCACTTTCACCAGTCTTTTCATAGTTTATAGTCTTATGCAATGTTGGAGTAGCTGTTTCACCTATAATCTCAATTCCTTCCTCACCAACTCTCATTGCCGCAATATTTCTCTTTAGCTTCCTGTTATCATTTCTAAGCACACCAAGACTCTTCTTATTAGATTCACCTTCCTTCTTAAGCTTTCTGTTATCCTTCTCAAGAGCCTTCAGCTTCTTCTCACTAACTTCACCCTTCTTTTTCAACTCCGCTATCTCCTTATCACGAGCCTCATCTTTTGCCATCATAGCAGCCATCTGAGCTTGCATCTTAGTTATCATCTCAGCGTAAGCCTTCATCGTATCAGCAGGATTTTCCATCTTCTTCTCTATATAATATGTGTCAGAATTTTTTGACGTATTTTCTACTGTATTTATTGACGTATTTTTTGTCATACTTTTTGCCAATTTGTTTTCCATTTTTACTCTATACTATACGTGATGTTTAACGTAATTATCCTATTTTCACAGACGGCCTCCACAATACCTATTTTACCTGTCAGGGAGACCCCACACTATCAATTTCGGTCTTTACAGAGCAGTTATTTAGTTTTCTGTTTAAATCAAGGTTTTCGAGCTCAGTTCGCTTCTCCAGCTTTCTAATTAACCATTCTCTGTAGTATTTACAATCACGCGGTTCCCAACCAAGAATAGGATAAACCCGACCAAATAGAATATCTTCATTTTGTAAAATTACCTCTTTACTCCTAGAGTCAGTAATAGTTGTATCAATACCAAGTCTGCTGCAGGTTCTCAATACGACGCTCTTTAGCTGAGGCATTCTAACTCCACCAAGTTCATCTACAACATTTCTAATTTTCATAAGGCAGTCCAACAGTGTATGGTAGTCTTCCCCACTGTGATGCTTTTCCAGCAGTTTCTTAAACTCGAATTTCTTCCAACCATCCATTTATATTATACCATAGGTTTAACTATCTTCCTCTCCCACACATTATAAATTTATCATTCATCCCATTACCTTCACGATACCAGAACTCCTCCCAACGATCATTCCAATCTATCCATTCAGGTCCAATACAAACATTTCCCAAATCCCGCGCTCTTTGCCTAAGATCTCTGTACCACTCATGAAAATATTTACAGCTGGCCACATTGAGACCAATAGTAGGAACAATTATTCCGTAGAATAGGAATTCATGCTTAGCCTTAACATTGGATGGATACAAATCCCGCAACTGCTCATTTGGCTCAATTCCAAGTGCACTACAAACTCTTACAATATAGAATCTCATACTAGGGTAGTACTTAAGGTTTTCACTATTTAGTAACTTCTTAATCTTAACAATCACACTAACAACCATATCTATCCCAGACTTTCCCACATACTTACTTACACATCTTCTTACCTGTGAAGGATAAACAGGCCCTAGTTTTCCGGAGGACACCTCATACTTTCCCGCCTCAATGTTATAAGTCCTTCCTGCAATACTGATGCTATTCTTGAGGAACACATACTTATTATCACAACAGTAACTCTTGAAATACATTCCTCTATCTATACTATACATGATGTTTAAACTTATTCCTACAAATAGAACCGAATCGTCTTTTATGAGAGGAACTGTTAGAGTTTACAGGCAGACCGCACAAATTCCACAAACAAACCGCAAGATTCAAGGAAAGTTCCCGGCAGGGACCGCATAATCTTTACAAGCAAACAGCAGCCACCTACCTACAACGCCGCATGACTATATAAGTTTCTACAAGCAGGCCGCAACTACTATCTGCAAGTAAACCTAAGACATCTCACCAGTAGATCTGAGTTACCTCACCAGTAGATCTCAGTTACCTTGCAAGTAAACCTAAGACATCCCACCAGTAAACTTAAGTTACCTTACAAGTAGATTCCAGTTATCTTACAAGTAAACCTAAGACATCTCACAAGTAAACTTAGGTTACCTCACCAGTAGATCCCAGTTATCTCAACAGTTATCTTACCAGTAGATTTGAGATATCTCACCAGCAAATTTAAGTTACCTTACAAGTAGATCACAGATATCTCAACAGTAGATTCAAGTTATCTTGCAAGTAGAATTCAAGTAAATTTGAGATACCTTATAAGTAAATTCCAAGTAGATCCTAAGTAGATTCAAGTAAACCTAACAAAATGACCATCATCACGCTCTCGAATAACATCTCCCACATAAACTCCACCATCAGCATCCTCAACAAACTCTTGAAGATAAGGTGCGATCCATCTCTTCCTCCTAGACTGCGGCAACCCTTTCTTACTATTCATATAAGCTATAACGAACCCCAGACCAACTATCAGTAATAATAAATTTATCTCCTCCATATACTAATCCCAAGGTTTTATTAAGGATTTTCAAAATCATAAGAGGGACGTCACGCCCCTCATACAGGATACCTCAAAATCACCAGGATGGAGGACTAACTTAGGATTACAAAGCTCACCCGGCAATTCGCTCAGATCACCTCTATGACACATAAATTTACCATCACACAGGCTCCACAAAACATAAAAATAGTGTTACACAGGATTGCTAAGGGTGTTCTCGAGGACACACTTAGGAGGCTTACATGATTACAAGGTTCACTCAGCAATTCGCTCAGATCACCCCAGCATTACATCACATTATTTATTTTATTTTATTATTTATTTTATTTTATTTTATTATTTATTTTATTATTTATTTTATTTTATTATTTATTTTATTATTTATTTTATTTTATTATTTATTTTATTATTTATTTTATTTTATTTTATTATTTATTTTATTATTTATTTTATTTTATTATTTATTTTCTCCCACGCGCGCGTTTTGTCATGTCAGCAAAATTGACCTCTGCTAAAATGAGTTTGCTCACCTCTACTGAAATGAGTTTGCGGTGAACTCCAAAGGTGTGTATGGTGTATGATTACAAACTTGTGGATGTTGTGTGGGAACTAAAACATGTAATGCTGGGGTGATCTGAGCGAATTGCTGAGTGAACCTTGTAATCATGTAAGCCTCCTAAGTGTGTCCTCGAGAACACCCTTAGCAATCCTGTGTAACACTATTTTTATGTTTTGTGGAGCCTGTGTGATGGTAAATTTATGTGTCATAGAGGTGATCTGAGCGAATTGCCGGGTGAGCTTTGTAATCCTAAGTTAGTCCTCCATCCTGGTGATTTTGAGGTATCCTGTATGAGGGGCGTGACGTCCCTCTTATGATTTTGAAAATCCTTAATAAAACCTTGGGATTAGTATATGGAGGAGATAAATTTATTATTACTGATAGTCGGTCTGGGGTTCGTTATAGCTTATATGAATAGTAAGAAAGGGTTGCCGCAGTCTAGGAGGAAGAGATGGACCGCACCTTATCTTCAAGAGTTTGTTGAGGATGCTGATGGTGGAGTTTATGTGGGAGATGTTATTCGAGAGCGTGATGATGGTCATTTTGTTAGGTTTACTTGAATCTACTTAGGATCTACTTGGAATTTACTTATAAGGTATCTCAAATTTACTTGAATTCTACTTGCAAGATAACTTGAATCTACTGTTGAGATATCTGTGATCTACTTGTAAGGTAACTTAAATTTGCTGGTGAGATATCTCAAATCTACTGGTAAGATAACTGTTGAGATAACTGGGATCTACTGGTGAGGTAACCTAAGTTTACTTGTGAGATGTCTTAGGTTTACTTGTAAGATAACTGGAATCTACTTGTAAGGTAACTTAAGTTTACTGGTGGGATGTCTTAGGTTTACTTGCAAGGTAACTGAGATCTACTGGTGAGGTAACTCAGATCTACTGGTGAGATGTCTTAGGTTTACTTGCAGATAGCAGTTGCGGCCTGCTTGTAGAAACTTATATAGTCATGCGGCGTTGTAGGTAGGTGGCTGCTGTTTGCTTGTAAAGATTATGCGGTCCCTGCTGGGAACTTTCCTTGAATCTTGCGGTTTGTTTGTGGAATTTGTGCGGTCTGCCTGTAAACTCTAACAGTTCCTCTCATGAAAGACGATTCGGTTCTATTTGTAGGAATAAGTTTAAACATCATGTATAGTATAGATAGAGGAATGTATTTCAAGAGTTACTGTTGTGATAATAAGTATGTGTTCCTCAAGAATAGCATCAGTATTGCAGGAAGGACTTATAACATTGAGGTGGGAAAGTATGAGGTGTCCTCCGGAAAACTAGGGCCTGTTTATCCTTCACAGGTAAGAAGATGTGTAAGTAAGTATGTGGAAAAGTCTGGGATAGATATGGTTGTTAGTGTGATTGTTAAGATTAAGAAGTTACTAAATAGTGAAAACCTTAAGTACTACCCTAGTATGAGATTCTATATTGTAAGAGTTTGTAGTGCACTTGGAATTGAGCCAAATGAGCAGTTGCGGGATTTGTATCCATC